CGCAATGACTGTCGTCCAAAAACAGATGTTTACGCAACTTCTCTTCTTAGCCTCAAGAACGGAGGGCGAAACCTTCTTTCGATCGAGTTCTCGCTTGATGCACTCCGCAGCTAATTGTCACAGGGCCTGGGAGCCCCATGAAGTTACGTGGATGGCGGGCCAATGGTCTTCAACATCACGCGCTCGCCCGGACGCTGCGAACATCATGCTCGAACTGCTTTCTTGCAAACCACATGTCTGGTTTGGGTACATGGCGTAACCCAAATTTAACGTGATTGAGGTTTCGCAGAGTAACAACAAAACGGTTCGCACCGTTCCTGTCTTGCCGCGTCCCGTTTCAGGGCCCCAAGGCGCTGAACCCGCCGCAGGGCCATAGCAACATCACCATATAGCCCCTCAGGGGCCTGTTTGATCCGCGCATTTCCATAAGGCGTTCGCAGCATTGGACACGACTACCTGCATGTACATGTGAGGAAGGACTTGGAACGAGAAGATGCACACTGGCATCTGTGACACGAACTGGATTCACGTTGGTCCTCCTCCTCATCCACCGCGTCCTTGTGCTTTGCGTTGGAGAGCGCCCGAACTGGTCAGCACATACCGGGCGGGTAGCAATGAGAAAGCATGGAGTACTGCAGGCTTAATCATTACCTTGTGCTGACTGGTTAGAGCGTCTATGAGATCGCATGATATCGCGCAAGTGCCGTCAATAACGGCACGCAAACGGGCCGGCAACAAACCTGGCAGCAGGGACCAGCAGCTGCATACGCCTCAGCTTACGGCGGGAAAGCCGGAGGGACGAACAACCCCGCATACGCCAAATCTCTCGGAGCTCCGCGCGGATTGCTTGGATCTGCTCTGGCCTCCCCTCCCTGGCGTGCGAAGCGCGCCAGGGGCGGCACCTCCGGCGCCGCCGGGGGTGCCCAGCGCCGATCCGAGAACTCCGAGCAGAGCTCTGACATCAAATGTTTATGCTGTTTCTTCCTCTTGGAACATCGGGAGCGGCCAAGAGGGGGGTGTCCAAGAGGGGGGGGGGGGGTACAAATCATGACCGGCGGCATGTGCGCGGCCCAGCACGGGGGCCAGGGACGTAATGAAGCAAGACGGGGCGCCATGAAATCTGGGGAAATCTCATGGCCCCCGCCATGATATCCACCCCCCCTTGTCGTCCACCCCCCTCTTTGCCGCCCCCGAGAAAACTATGCAACAGCCGCAGCTTGGTGACTGGTTTGTGTTGGTCGATTAGCTCCTGTACGACTATTGAGACACCCCGGGTCCTGCAGCGGAGGCTGGGGCTCGGGCACCCAGAGGCACAGGATGACCCACAGGCTGGCTAGTCTCTCGAGCTCCTGCAGGAGAACAGAAAGGCACAATCATACAGTCGGGCCGCTGAAAGAAGGAACGCTAAATAAGGAACGAAGCCCCTTCTTGGCCCTGTAAGCGCCTCCGTGCCCCAGGAGGGCAAGAGGAACAGCACTGGAGGAACCTAACGAACATCGAGCCCATTCCGAACCCAAACTGTTCCTTATGTCAGCGTCTTGACTGCAGACTCTCGCAAGTGTGCGCGCATTTCTTGGGTTGGCGCCGGACACCCAAGCACTGGCGCGCGAAACGCGCCAGGGGCGGCGCCGGAAGCGCCGCCAAGGGGGCCGACACAAGAAATCCGCGCAGACCTCGGAAAATAGAGGAGGAGGAGGAGGAGGAGGAGGAGGAGGAGGAGGAGGCGGAGGCGGAGGAGGAGGAGTCGTGTCCTGGCCATTGCCTTGGCGACGCGCTGTGCCCTGCAAGCGGATAGCGTGTCGCTCCGCTCCGCGTGGCGGGCGGCTCCGAGGCGGGGAGTGCCGAAGCCAGCGGAGCGACACGCTGTCGTCGTCGTCGTCGTCGTCGTCGTCGTCGTCGTCGTCGTCGTTGACGTCGTCGTCGTCGTCGTCGTCGTCGTCGTCGTCGTCGTCGTCGTCGTCGTCGTCGTCGTCGTCGTCTTCGTCGTCGTCGTCGTCGTCGTCGTCGTCGTCCTCGTCTTCGTCGTCGTCGTCGTCGTTGTCGTATGGCAGTCGGGTCACAATTCGCGTCTCCGGCGGCCACTTGGGACGATCTGGTCCCGCCGGGGGCGCTCTCGGCGATAGGTGATCCGAGGCCAGAAGGGCGCCCAGAGCCCGTGAAGGCGCCCGAGAACCGTAAGCGTCATCGCGCTTGGCATTAAGTCCCGAGGCTGGAAAACCCCCGAGAGCGACCCAAAACGCTCGAGAGCCGAAGCGAGACAGCTTTTGGCTCCCCGAGTCCCGGGGGAGCCCCTCTCGAGCAGCGGCCCTGAGGCTGGAAAACCGCCGAGAGCCATCGAAAACGGCGGAAAGCCATAAGTTTAACTGCTGTTTGCTCTCGAGGAGGAGGAGGAGGAGGAGGAGGAGGAGGAGGAGGAGGAGGGAGGGAGGAGGAGGAGGAGGAGGAAGGAGAGGAGGAGGAGGAGGAGGAGGAGAGGAGGAGGGAGGAGGAGGAGGTAGGAGGAGGAGGAGGAGGAGGGGGAGGAGAGAGGAGGAGAGAGGAGGAGGAAGGAGGAGGAGGAGGAGGGGAGGAGAGGAGGAGGAGAGGAGGGAGGAGGAGGAGGAGAGGAGGTGAGGAGGAGGAGGAGGAGGAGGAGGAGGAGGAGGAGGAGGGCCCTCTCGAGCAGCGGCCTCCGAAGCCGGAGAGGCAGGGGGGGAGAGCCTGCGACACCACCCCGCACAGCGCATGCCAGCTTGGAGGAGGCAGACCCCCTCGAGCAATGAAAAAAAGCATGACGGGAGGTTTTCCTAATTTTCGGCCTCGGGGGGCCCTCACCGGGCCTCGGGAGCGTCAAAAAACGACTCAGGATGCAAAGCCGGTCATGGGGAAAGGGTCGGGACCTCTGGGGGTCGACGTAATGAAAAAATCATTACGTCGGGGGTCTGGGGAGGCAGGGAGGTCTGAGCTGGATGGACCTCGATAACAACGGAGGGGTGGTCTCCTCCTCGTCCTCCTCGTCCTCGTCCTCGTCCACCTCCTCCACCTCCTCCTCCTCCTCCTCCTCCGCCTCCGAAGCTGGAGAGCAGGGGGGAGCCTGCGGAACCGCCCGAACAGCGCATGCTCAGCTTGGAGGAGGCAGGGAGGTCTGAACTGGATGGACCTCGATGGGAAGCACAGGGACATACTAATACTATATGTCCTCCTTGGAGGCGCGCGTCCGACCCGAGCATATAGTATACCCATCTTGTAGTATATCGTTTCTCGAGCGGTGTGGCCAGAAAGCGCCCGCCACGACGCATATACTACAAGATTTCTCGGTGCGCGCGTCGCCCCTGGGGGGGCGACGAACACATAGTATAAGTATGTTGGGGGGATGTCGACTCGAGAACAACGGAGAGGTGGTCTCCTCCTCGTCCTCCTCGTCCTCGTCCTCGTCCTCCTCGTCCTCGTCCTCGTCCACCTCCTCCTCCTCCTCCTCCTCCTCCTCCTCCTCCTCCTCCTCCTCCTCCCTCCTCCCTCCTGCCTCAGCATCAGAGCATCAGGTGCAGCGTTGGACCCCAGATCCGTTTCCAAAGGGCCCCAGGGCCCAGAAAAACGGCCCCCCCGGGGCCGAGCAAGGTCAAAGCCTCCTCGAGCCCGGTGCCTCGAACCTCGCCCCCGCTCCCTGCTTGCAGGAACCGATATCGGCTTTGGACAAGCCTGCCTTTAGCACACCTCCCTTCAGTGAAAACGGCCTGGGACCGACACCGACGGACCTGGACCCGCAAAAGCGACGGCCGCGACGCCCTCTCGCGGACCGAGGACGGCCAATTCCTGGATCGACGTGTCAGGGTGGGAGGTCTGTCCACCCCCCGACAGTAATGGGCCACCTCAGACCCCCCAGAGGAACGTTTCCTTGCGCGCTTCAGAAGCTTCCTTCATTCCGAGGAGCGCTGTGCAAGAAGAGAGCTCTACGAGGTGCCCGGCGGTAACCTGGTTGACGGTCTACCGCCGGTCTCCAGTCTTGTTCTCGAAATTGAACCATTCGTTTGAGCTCTAGTATTAGGCGACGAGCCCAGGGGGGAAATGAGAAGGAGAAGGCCTTCTCAGAAGGCCGCGGGACTTCTTAGAAGTCCGGGGGGCTTCTGAGACGTTTCCTTGGCCTATTTCGAATACAGACAGAACTTCTCAGAAGCCCTCTCAGAAGTCCAGAAACTTCTCAGAAGCCTCGGAAGTCCCGCCCCTTCTCATTTCCCCCCCGCGCCCGCCGCCGAAGTATTTTTTCCCACCATATTCGATCTTATTCCCGCTCGCCGTCTTGACCTCAGCTCGAGCGCGGCGTGTCGACCCTGGGCGGAAGGGGGGGGGGGGGGGGGTCCGGCCCCGGGCCTCGGCGGCTCCGCGCGCCTGCCTGCAGCAGCACGTCCCAGGGGGGAGGCCCCCCACACGCTCGAGACGAGCGCCCCAAACGGCAGAGATCTCCACCCACGGGGGGGGGCCCGCGCCGATCGGCGAAACAGTGAAGATAGAGGAATAGAAAATGGATGCATGTATGTAGAGTAGGCGAAAGAGTGAAGATAGAGGGATGGGAGGGATAGACACAGGGAGGATAGAGGAAGAGAAACCCGCGCGGGCCGTCAACAAGGTATGTAAACGTGCATGGTTGACGGTCCGCGCGGATTCCTTGATCTGCGCTGGACGCCCCTCCCCGGCGCGCGGAGCGCGCCAGGGAGGGGCGCCGGAGGCGCCGCCAGAGGCACCTGGCGCGGATCCCCGAAGAAGCCGCGCAGAGCGCCAAGCGTTTATGTTGATGCCCTTCTCTGCTCTTCGACATCCACCGAAGGGCAAAGCAACGAACCAGACGACGATCACCATCGTGTCTGCGCCATTCCTGGGCGATCCCCCCCCCTCCGCGCACGCAGACCGGCGAGCACCATAGCCTGCCTGAGCCGAGGATCGTCGTCAAGGAGTACGGCAGGAACAACCGATCGTAGGTTAGAGCCTGGAAAAAATATGGAGGATAAGGGAGAAGCCAAAAAAACAGGAAGAACGGCAGCACAAAGTCAGGATAGGTGTACATGTCCTTCGAAAGACATGCCACGATCGCTCCAGAGCGTGTCAAGGATCAATACGCCCATGCGCACTACGGTCGGGGCGTTGACCTAAGGAACCCTAAATGAGGAACGAGGCCCCCTTTGCTCATGAGTTGAACTTCGCCTCCCCATGGGAAACCTCAGGAAAACCCTGCCAGGAACACGGAGCCCCTCCCCAACGAAAAGGGTTCCTTCTTCAGCGCACCGACTTGGGGGGCGGAAAGATACGGATACGTGTTGTCCCCGGACCTCTCTTGGGGTGCGTTCTGACCAGAATTTCGAGGCGAATCCAGCGGTGACAACGAGGATTCCCCAGGAGGGCCAGGAAAGGCCGAAACCGAAGGGGGACAACACGTATCCGTATCTTTTTCTCCCCCGACCGACTTCACGCCTGGGCCCGCTTCGCCCCGTGCGAGCCCGCGCAGCCCAGCAGAAGCAGGCGACCGCCGAGAGGTTGCGACTCCTCCCCCTCCCCTTCCCCCTCCCCCTCCTCCTCCTCCTCCTCCTCCTCCTCCTCCTCCTCCTCCTCCTTACTCCTACTACTCCTACTCCTTAGCGCACCGACTGTACGGCGACTGTGAGCTCACCGCGCCGCTTGCACGGCGGGCGCGCTCGGAAAGCGAAGCCGAGGCTCGACGACGCCTGGGGGCGGCGTCGACGCCCGCGCGGTGCAGGCCAGGCCGTCCGCGGCCAGGCGGCAGTGGGCCACGGGGGCGACCGAGCGACCGATTATCCCTCCTCCTCCTCCTCCTCCTCCTCCCTCCTCTCCTCCTCCTCCTCCTCCTCCCCTCCTCCTCCTCCTCCTCCTCCTCCTCCTCCTCCTCCTCCTCCTCCTCCTCCTCCTCCTCCTCCTCCCTCCTCCTCCTCCTCCTCCTCCTCCTCCTCCTCCTCCTCCTCCTCCTCCTCCTCCTCCTCCTCTCCTCCTCCTCCTCCCCCTCCTCCTCCTCCCCCTCCTTCCTCCTCCTCCTCCTCCTCTCCTCCTCCTCCTCCGCCTCCTCCTCCCTCCTCCTCTTCCTCCTCCCTCCTCCCCTCCTCCTCCTCCTCCTCCTCCTCCTCCTCCTCCTCCCCAGTGGTAGGTCGGGCATGCCCTCCCACAGGCGGAGTTTGGAACAGAAGTAGCACATGAACGAGACGTGCGTGAGCATAGCGAAGACGAAACGGGCATTCGTCATCCGACAGTTTCTTCCTGCTATTCTCGAGCAGCCCTCCTGTGGAGGGACATACCCGACTTAGCTCCCGTGCTGCGCGGCCTTTTGCCCCTCGATCTCGCCATCGCTCGGACGTCATTTTTTTGTGTTTTTTTGGTTTCGTGCGTGGTTTTTTCGCCAAATGGTCAAGGATGTTCCTCGATGGCCCTCGCCGAAGGATAAATGCGCACGTCCGAGCGATGCCCCTCGACGTCCTGGGCGAGGCCCTCGAGCAGCGGCCGCAGCAGCTGCGGGCTGGGCGCGCCGCCCAGCAGCCACAGCAGGTGCTGCAGGTCCGGCGAGTGGTCCACCGGGCTGCGGCAGACCTGCCCCCAGGGCTTCCACGACGGGGCGAGCCGTGGCCCTCCCCTCCTCCTCCTCCTCCTCCTCGTCGTCGTCCTCCTCCTCCTCCTCCTCCTGGCCTGGCGCTGTCACTTCAGGCCTCGGAAAAAAACAAACAGCGAACACGCATGCCACATTCATCGGTCAACGCCTCCCCCTCTCCCCCAGTGTTCAGAGTTGGCGGTGGGTCTGATGAGCTGCACTTCGACCGCAGTCTCTCTCCCGCGCATGCCAACTTTGAGTTTTGGGGAGCGGGGGAAATGTCAACTAACTGTTCCCCCACCTTGCCGTTTTCTCACAATTCTAAGAGAACAAAAAACGGCATAAACATGAACTGTTGACGGTCCGCACAGATTTCTTGGATCTGAGCTGGACCCCTGCGCGCGCCAGGGGCGGCGCCGGAGGCGCCGCCAGGGCGCTCCAGCGCGGATCCAAGAAAGCCGCGCGGAACGTCGAAAGTGCATGATCATGCCGTTTTTCCTCTTTCGAAACTGCCTTTCTCGCTCAATTTCGGGCCCAGGGACCCTCACAGATCGATCCTGCTCGAACAGTGGCGCAGAAAGATGAGGTCTGGGGCTTCGATCGTGATTTTCTGCGATGTTGCAATTCGTTAGCAACGTCCTCACCCTCGCCCCAAAGGACAGAAGGAGCGAGAGGGGCCGACGAGCTCCACAAAGAACTACCCCCCTGCCCGAGAGAATGCTGGCGCGGGCCGCCAGAACTCCTGAGCACGTCGCCCGCGTCGACGTCGAGGATAGTGAGCGCGTGTGAGGGTGGCAGCATATTTTTTTCCCAGCCATACTGTGGTGTTGAGCCTTCGTGCTGACGAGACAGCGCGCCGCGTCCCTCCCGTCTCCTCCTCCTCCTCCTCTTCGTCGTCCACCTCCTCCTCCTCCTCCTCCTCCTCCTCCTCCTCCCGCTCCTCCCTCCTCCCACTCCTGCCTCTGCCCTCCGCGCGACCACTTCGTCACACCCCTCACGCGCTTCGTGACCCCATAGGCAGCTCCACCGAAGGTCCAAGTGGCAAGTTCGCATGCGGTTCCCCGCCAATTCCGGCATACCCTTCACATGGCTCGTGGCCCCATAGGGAGCTACACCCAAAGCCTCAATGGCAGGGTTCGCATGCAGGTCCCCGCCAATTTCGGCGAACACTCACACGCTTCGTGGCCCCATAGGGAGCTTCACCGAAGGCTCCAGCGGCTGCGTTTGCATGCGGTCGCCTATCCATGTCGACACAGCCCCCGCGTGCATCGTGGCCGTATAGGGAGCTGCACCGAAGGCCCTTGTGGCTGCGTTCGCATAAGGCTCCCCGCACATGTCGGCTCAACCGAAGGCCCCAGCGGCTGCGTCCGCATGCGGTTCCCCTGCCCATTACGGCACACCCCTCACACGGCTAGTGGCCCCATAAGGAACTCCACCAAAGGCCCCAGTGGCAGGGTCCGCTTGCGGTTTCCCGCACATTTCGGCACACCGCTGGCACTCTTCGTGGTTCCATACAGAGTTCCATCGAAAGCGGTGCCACAACGCTGTTCTCACACCTGCATATGGCTGGGTCCTTCGCCAAGATAACTCTGTCTTATTTCTGGGCGTTGCCTAATGGTGTGGCTAAGATGCGTGCGCATTTCGTGCCCCCTTTGGGCCCCAAAGGGCCCTTTAGGCCCCTAAGGTGCACCCTTCCCCGCCCCCAGTTGTCGCCCCCCCCCCATCACACAACGTCCGATATGGGAGAAGGTTGGGACCCTGGGCCACGGTAGCGCTTGGACGGGGTCGGGCACGTTGGGGCGGGGCGCGTCGCGATCGCCACAGCATTTGCGCGCGAGCGCCAACACGTGTTGGGGGTCCAGCCCCCCCCCCGTACGTACGAACGTTACTGCTACACTGGCCACACCGGGGCGCGTGCACGCTCGGACTCGCGCCGAGCACCGGGTCGCCCTGCGGAAGCACGGGAGGCAGCGGGTGAGTGGACTTTTTTGGGCGGGCCAAGGCGACGCGCCGCTTTCCCCCGAGAGATGGCGACAGGCGCGCGCGATGCCATGACTGCCCACGTCCCAGATCCACTTGCGGTCGGACATTTTTGCTTGGTGTGTCGCCCCTGCGGCTGGCGGCCCCGGCGGCACGCTGTGCCTTTCGACTGGGTAGCGCGTCGCTCCGCTCAGCGGGGCGGGGGGCCTCGGAAAGTTCGGGACGTGGATACCTCGGGACCGCGAAATGGATAGCGTGTCGCTCCACACCGCGGAGTGCCAGAACTGGCGGGGCAACGCGCCACCCAAAACTTCCCGACCGTGCCCGATGACGATCGAGCCGGGAACCAGACGACCTCTCGAGAAAGGTGTCGAGTCCGATGGGTCCCTCAGGGGGTAAGGACTTCAACTCCCCCAGTTGTGGCTCGCCTAGATAAAAGCCTCCCATCTGGGCCTCCCATGGAAGATCGCGCCTCATCGCCGATGCATCGCCGATGCATCGGCTATGCATCGGCGATGCAGGGGCGATGCGTCGACAACGTCGGCGATGCATCGCCGGCGTCGGCGTGGAGAAAATCGGGCTCCGCATCGAGCCGCATCGCCGATGCGTCGGCGATGCGGCGCGATCCTGCGACCCCAACTGTAATCGGGCTGCTGACATAAGGATCGCTAGGTCAAGGAAGAAGCCCCTTTCCGGCACCAGAAGAATCTGGGTGCACGAGCGGGGCTAAAAGAAGAAACGCGGAATGACCCAAGGAACAACGGGCCCTTTCTGAACTCCAAACGGTCCTTCTTTCGGAGTCTTGACTGCACCCCGACACCATCTGGGATGAATAAGTGAAAGAACGGCTCAAGAGAAAAGTTTCGTGACTAAAGCATGATGGGCCAACTCAGGCCTGCTTGGTCTCCTCCTTGGCCCTGATCCGCTGGAACATGGCCGCTAGACTAAACTAAACTTAAGTCGGGCCTGTCCCCCTACAAGGGGATTTCGGCGAAAAAGAAAAATACCCCCAAAATAGTCAAACCATAGTCCAAACATAGTCCGGACACTCTTTTTCGAGTCTTTTCTGACCTTTTGGGGGGTATTTTTGTGAGTTTTCGTCGAACATCCCCCTGTATGGGGGACAGGCCCGACTTAAGACTAGACCCGGGAGGCCCCGCGCAGACACCTGTTGGAGGCCTAGAAATGGGCACCAACACCAACACAGGGGGTTGCCTCCACATGGGGACGATGATCCTAGATTTCGGTGTTGGTGGCAATATTTCGGTCACCCTGGAAGCCAGATTATTACCACCATCACCGAGATCGGGATCTTCTTCCCTCGGTGGAGGCACACCGCCCATCTTGGTGTTGGTGTCAATCTCTAGGACTCCGAGGGAGGCCCCGCGCAGACACCTGCTCCAGCAGGTGCCCGATCAGCCAGGCGTGCCCCTCGAGCCGGCTGCGCTGCTCCATCTCCTCGGCGGCGCGCGCACCGGGGGGGAGGGAGGGAGGGAGGGAGGGAGGGAGGGAGGGAGGGAGGGAGGGAGGGAGGAGGAGGAGGAGGAGGAGGAGGAGGGGAGGAGGAGGCGGAGGAGGGGAGGGGAGGGAGGGAGGGAGGGAGGGAGGGAGGGGGAGGGAGGGAGGGAGGGAGGGAGGAGGAGGAGGAGGAGGAGGAGGAGGAGGAGGAGGAGGAGGCGGAGGAGGAGAGACCGCCCGCGCCGTGAAGAAAGCACGACGCCGCCGCCGTCGCCGTCGTCGCAGACGGCACGTCGTCCACAGACCTCGCGCTGTGGAACAGAAGTCACGGCGGGGAGCCCTCGCCGGGCCCCAGGGCTGCCCAAGAGCAGCTCAGGATGAAACGCCGGTCCTGTGAAGGGGTCCAGGCCTCTGGGGGGACGACGCTGTGCAAGAAAGAACGTCGGGGGCCTGGGTCCAGTTTTTTTGTTTGGAGTCGACCCTCTTTCAGCCCAAGTGCAGCAGGCCAGTGGCGAGCAGGCCTGCCGAAACTGTTGAAGTACTATGCCATTGCACACGCTCAACAACGACATAACAGTTAAGAACGGCAAAGAAAGGGTTATGACAACTGTGACCCCGACCCGCTTGGGGGGGCCTGGGTCAGGCAGGGCCTCCCTGGGGTTGCCCACGGCTTTTCGAAAGGCCCCTCAGGAGCCTCTGGGGGCCCTGCTGAGAAGGCCCTTGCCTTCTCAGCCCCGCCCCCCTCGGGCCCAGACATCCGACGTCTCGATTTTTTCGAGACACGGGCCCCCGACCTCCCGACCACTTCCCTGGGACCGGTTTTTCACCCCGAGTCGTTTTGTGACGGTCCCGAGGCCCGGCGAGGGCCCCGAGAGGCCGAAAACGACGAACAACCTCCGTCTCGATTTTTTCGAGACGCCCGATGTCTGGGGGGTGGACAGGATCCGTTCTATCACAGAGCCCGTTCTTAGTGAAGCCGGCCCGGGACCAGACCCAGCGGGCGCAGGCCAGCGGTCCTTGCGGCCGCAGCGCTCTCCCTCGATAGCCGAAGGGGGGCAGTGTGCTCATCGACTTGGCAGGGGCGGGGCGGCCACGGGGGGGGGCGTGGGCCCTCTGGTCGGGGGCGGCTCGAACGGCCCCGCCTGGAGCGCCCCGGGTGCTCTGCGCGGGCTTCACTGGCGGGGCGAGGGTGGCCTCCACGGGGCCGCGACTGTCCAGGGTCTTCCCCTCCGCTCTGGGCGCGAATGCACGGGTGGCGATAAGTGGGAGGGGCGGGGGGGCGCAAGGTGCCCTTTTCGGGCCCTGAAGGCCCCCTCTGGGGCCCCAAAGGGCCCCTCTGGGGGCCCGAAAGGGCACCTTTTCTGCAACTCTCACTGCGCCCCCATCCATCGCCCCCCCCCCCCCATTACGCGTCCTCCGAGGCTGTCCGGGCTCTCGGCCCCTCCCTCCTGGCGCCCTGGGCTCCATCAACCTCCGACCCCCCCCCCCCAGTCTGCTCGGAGGGCCAGCGCGCCGCCCCTCCTCCTCCTCCTCCTCCTCCTCCTCCTCCTCCTCTCCTCCTCCTTCCTCCTCCTCCCTCCCTCCTCCTCCTCCTCCTCCTCCTTCCTCCTCCCTCCTCCTCCTCCCCCCTCCCTCCCCCCTCCTCCCTCCTCCTCCTCCTCTCCCTCCTCCGTCCTCCGTCCTCCATCCTCCCGTCCTCCGTCCTCCCCTCCCTCTCCCTCCTTCCTCCTCCTCCTCCCTCCTCCCTCTCAATCCTCCCTCCTCCGTCCTCCTCCTCCTCCCCTCCTCCTCCTCCTCCTCCTCCTCTTCCTCCTCCTCCTCCTCCTCCTCCTCCTCCCTCCTATTCCTCCTCCTCCTCCTCCTCCTCCTCCTGCTCCTCCTTTTCTTCCTTTCGCGCCTCCTCCTCCTCCTCCTCCTCCTCCTCCTCCTCCGCCTCCTCCGCCTCCTCCTCCTCCCCTCCCCCACGCGGCGCGCCGCCGACGCAGGGCCGCGCCTCCGCCGCCCCGGGGACAAGCGGGGCAGCCGACCCCTGCCGAGCTCGGGCCCGCGGAGGCCCCCTCCGGCCCGGGGGCCCGCCCGAGGACGGCCCGGGGCCGCAGATGGGCCCAGGTGTGCTCCAGGACGGGCCAGCTTTGCGCTGGCCTCGCCTCCTCCTCCTCCTCCTCCTCCTCCTCCTCCTCCTCCTCTTGTTTGTACTACCAGTCTCCCTCCCCCTACTCCAGCACCTCATCCTCCTGGACAGGCACCTGGCCCCTCACCAGTGGCGTGCTTTGCACGCACGGCGGGTTCCGAAAACCCTGGGCCCAACAGTGTTGCCGTCTCTCGGGGGCGCATCTTCTGCTGCCGCCGGCTTCCGCCGGCAGGAGGCGGCCCCGCTCCGCCACGTGAAGGAGATGAAGCACTCCAACTCCATCTCGATCAACCTCCTGTACTCCTACCGTTGGGAGCACTCGGTTGTGGTGACATCCGCAGGTATGACGGCAGATGCGAAGGCCGACATTTATTATGAGATGTGTATGGGTTCTTTTTTGCTTCAGGTATCCAATCGATTTCTATATGACGTGTGTATATGGGAGCGTCAGGTCTTATCTGATGGTAGTTTCATGGTTGATTTTCTTCCGAAGGTATCATTGAGACCTGCAGTATCTTATGTCTGTTTTTTGCGTCACAGTGACTGGACTCGTCTGCAACATATCCTCCACGGGAATGGACCGCTGAGGGTCACTCTCACATGTGCCCTTGCGAAGCTGACACGAGCTAAACAACAATCACGAGTATGTACGGCCTTGGAGTTTGCCAACGAGTTATGCAACAATCACGAGTATGTACTGCCTTGGAGTTTGCCAAAATCAAGAACCCTCAGAAGACGTATGATCACTTGAAGAAGCTCTCAACGGAGCGTATGGCGAAGATTGCTACGCTACCTGTTGGGGACATAGATCCAGCTATCACGGCGTGGCTAGGTGAGCAGCCTCTGAGAACATCGCCACCGACCTCGCCAACACAGACGACAGATAAGAACACGAAGAAGAAGAAGAAGATCGCGAATCAGAGGAATAATGCGAAGGAAATTGTGAAGACTGGCTGGGATATTCCAGTGGCGCGAGGCGTTCCGATAGACTATGAGCTTTTGAAAGCAATATACTTGGTCGCGGTTGCAGAGTTGCTGGAGCGTGCGGAGCTCGACAATTTCTGGCAGCGGGCCAACCCCGTTGTTCCCTTCGGATTTGTTCTGGCGCAAGTCCCCTCTCAGATCCCGACGGAACTATATCTATTGTGTGTTCAACGTGGCCTCTCCACGATGATCACGCTCCTCAATGTACCGTTGGTGAATACTGACGGCACAAGACATATTAAGCAGCTGTATGTGTGGCAGTATGGAGGGCAGGAGCAGAAGGTTATCAAACCAACGCGAAAGCCCACGACTATCATCGTCGCAGGATGAGTTGATGAATATTGCAGTCTTGGAAGCACATGCGCCAGAGAAGTTGTTCAAATACCTACACAAGCTGCACCGCCAGCCTGTTGCAGCGCGTGACAAGCGAGCTGAACAGGCTGGACGACCAAACAAGTATGAATCGCCACCGCCATGGAGAGTGTTGGGCATGGAGCTGGCAAGAACCATTCGAGCCAAGTTGCCGATAACTCATGCTGGGTCAGATCTTGATATTCGATGTTGGAGTGAGCGTGTATTCAATGAAGATGTTCCTGGACAGCGAGTGTTTTCTGCATTGTTCAAAGTTTCCACGGCTAGGGCAGTGCAATTGAAATCAGAATCAGGAGCGGACGGAGTCATATTTCAACGGTCTCGAGCGGGTTGTTTCACAAATGTTACTCTGGATCGTGAAAAGGAGGAGGAGGAGGAGGAGGAGGATCTCGTACCATTCCAGAAGGGAGCAGACATCAAGGATGTGCTCGCGCAAATGCGTGAGTTGCAGGGCAGGCGCGGCCTTGGGTGCCGACAAACTGGAGCTTTATGTTTTCGTGCCGCAAAACGGTATGCACCAGCTGCGCGGCAGGCCATCCGGCCAAGAGCGCCACCGGCACCCACTTTGTATGAGATCTCGCCGTTGCCTAAACTGAAGGGGCCCTGGGACACACAAATGAATATTCAAAAACAGGATTCCCCATATTTCCCACCGTATTTTCTGGGTTCTATTCTTCCCCCCCACTTCCCATATTTTCACATATCTTCCTGGGAGTCGACGATTAAATTGTATCTGTGTGTTTCTTCCCTCCTGATAAACTTGTGGAGGGAAAGCAGTTGGTTCAAGATCTAGAGACGCAGCTTGGATGGGAATCGGAGCTCGTGAGCTTACGCACAAAGGGCAAGGCAGCAAATTTGTGCGCGTGAGGGCCGCAGGTCCTCCAGCTGCTGCCAGCATTGTCCTGGATGAGGTGCAGGCCGCGATCAACATTGTCAAGCAGAAGACGGGTACTACCTGAGCTGACTCATGCACATGGGTCGACATGGTCACCAAGTACGACAAGCAGCAACCCGAGAAACCGACCACACCACCGACGGCAACGGGACTACCGGCACTCACAGCACAACTTACTCGCCCTGGTAGGGCGCCAACACAACCAGCACCGCAACCACAGCAGCAGCAGCCGCAGCAGCCAGCACCACCACGACCACAAGGGTTTGGAGGGGGTGTATCTACCGAGTTTCAGAGGTTCGTCACGGCGGCTATCGGGGCGGCAGTGGCTACACAGAATCAGGTTATTCTCCAGCAGCTGCAACTCCAGGGACAAGGGCTTGCGAAGTGATTCCAAATCCTCAAGCAGTCCATAGGCGACCTGCTGACCGAAGAAGAAAAGACAGCAGGCGAAGAACTGGAACAATTGACCAAGCGCTTGAAGGAATCATCTGCTGTTCAAGTTGATGCAGGTGAAGGCACATGATGACATCTCGTCACATTCGCAGCAAGCAGGCGACAACACCATCGTTGACGCCAACGGCATTGGTCAAAAAATGATCCGTCAATGTTACTAGTTGG